TTGTTGTTGTTGTTTGTTGTTGTTGTTTGTTGTTGTTGTCGATGGAATTATTGTTGTATGGAAGAAAATGAAATAAATTTGGGAATGAATAATTTAAATATTATGCAAAAAAATTACATAAATTGCTAAACGCAAATTTAAAAAAAGCATTATTCGTAATTTAGGGTGTAAATTTAACTAATTCAGAATTTAAAAGGTTAATTTGATTTTGATAATTTATTTAAAATACTTTTTCGATGTTATACATTGTTTTATGTTAAACATTTCTATTATATACTATGTCAACTCCAATTAATAAACAATTTATATCTCAAACTTAAATTAAACATATTTCAGATTTATGAAAAGCTGCAGACAAAGGACAACATAAAGAGACAGAATTTAAAAGTTTATAATCGTTTTTCCAAAAAATCAGTGATTTATATTTGTACCGTCGCAATGTATTGTAGCACATACACACATACACACACATACATACATGCATATACATACATATACGCACATATATACATACATGCATACACACATACACATACATACACATACACACGAGTCCTTGCCGGTTTGCTATTACAGCAATGCTCATCTTATCCCACGTGTCACAACGTTTCGAAATTTGTCATTTATATACTACATCCGGTTGACGAATTATTCCGGATGAATAATTTTTCGACATACTTTACTCCTGATTTTCCTGATAGGGAATAGTTGCACCTGCATAATTTTCAAAAACACTGTGCACTTTTTCGTTTTTTTTTTGCTTTAAAAGTAAATGAAAGAAGGAGAGAGAGAGAAAGGATGATGGAAATGAATTTTGCCTTCAAAACCAAATTTAGAAATATGATTAAGAAACGATTATTATATGATTATAATCTCAAAGTATTATGAAAAAGGAAAAAAAAAAACATTCCAACTATCTATGAATTTGGTGAATTTGATGTATTAATTAGCAATAAAAAAGTAATGAAAAAATTGAGATGGGGAAAAAATTGAAAAAAAAATTAAACTAACATAGAAAACATATTAACATATCAAATAAATGGACGAAATTTTATCAAAGAATTAAATTAGTAGTAAAAAATCGAAAGAAAAAATTCCCGATTATAGTAGACAATATAAAAGTAAGTTAATAATTGCTATAAATAATAAGTCAGGAAAATAAACAAAGAAAATAAGCAAATTTTCAATAAGCAAGAAAACATTGACATCATTGATTTGGCATTTATACATGCTTGTTTGTTCATTTGATTTTGATGAAAAATCTCGTCCAAAATAACATTTTTATACTTTCACTAATGTTAAAAGAATAAAATCTTTCGACAATCCTTATGGCCCGATATAATTTTTAAAATAAGAAAATTTAAAGAAAAAATTATACTTGATATTCTATTAATTCTAGTTTGAAAACTATCAATTAGTCAGAATGATGATTTCAAATTGTATTTCTCACTAAACTTAACTACATTTACAAGAATTGGAAGTCACGCATACTTTAGAATAAAATCGATAACCCATAAGGAAAAAAAAGAATATTTACGTAGGGAAAACCATCATTGCTTATTTCTTCCATATTCTCTTCTTTTTTTCTTCACGGGAATGTTATAAATTTATGGATTTTCTTTGTTTGCTTGTTTATTTTACAATTGCATTTCATTGGAATTAAATGATATTATTATCCGTCAATGGATTAATCAATTAAGAGTGTTTATTGCTTCATTTCCCATTTACTCGTATCAACATGAAAAATATACAATAGAATAGTAAATTTTAGCAAATTATCATAATATCAAAATGCATTTATGTAAACCCTTTATCAGTTCCGATTGATAACTAAAAGGATAGTTGTAATTCGAAAATTGTTGTTGATCACTATGAACAGCGATATAATAGAGCGATATAATAATATTGCTTTTCGTGCTTAATCAATATTATTGACTCGTGAAAACGATACGTGCTTTAACAGGGAAGCAAATCTGCTACTGCTAATAGTTTTCCTGCTACCAATACTACAAAATCAAATCGGTGATGGATCAATGAATAAATATGATAGAAAAACTTTGATGCATTACTGATAAATTGTGTATTTTCACAGATTTTCTTTTAAATAAAAATATCAAGAAAAAAAGCCTTGTTCTTACTCTACTGATACAGCGGTTCAGAGATTCCATTTTACGTTTGCCGTATTTGTTATCCTTATTTTTTTTTTTAATTCATACCATTATTTTATCACTGGATAATTTTACAAAGGAAAATCACATGTATAACGTGTCCTTTGCAAAAAATTCTAATCAATTCGCGTAAGCTTTACGAATCATATTCCTCGCTCTTCCCCATAAAACAAACAAACAGACAAAAAAATTTCAATAAATTTACACGAAATTCGGAAAAGCTGGAATTTTTCCTAAAAGTTTAGTATTTTTTACAGATAATTCTTTCAGAAAAATTCGACAATCCAATAGTTTTATATGCAAATAGCTAAAAAAAAAGTCACCTTATACATACGCAAAAAAGTTGAAAATCTCGGATTTTGTAAAATAGTTTAATTGTTTACCATAAAAATAAATCAATTAACAATATCAGTCTTCTTTTTGAGCACTTTTCTGGGTTAATAAATCGTATAATCCCATTGAAGAGAATAGCTCCACATTCACATTTGATGTTGCCGCTGAATTTTTATTAGAATTCTCTCGGCTCTGACTACAACTACTACTTATCATTGTTTCCTGTATTTGACCATAATTCCTTGAATTTATCCTTCCAGATAACTGTGATTCTTGAATCAGCAATTGATCTGTTGACATTTTATCCAGTAATTTCTTTTTCTTGATTCGATTTAAATGAAGTCCTTCATTGGCTAGATAACCATACAATAGCGGAATATACTGCATCTTTCCAGCAGACCAAATCTATAAAAAAATGTTTGAAAGGATGAAAAAAAATCAATAATATCGACTACTGTATGCTTAATGAAACATATTTTAGTTTGTGCTATTTATATCATGATGGAGCTTTTACTACAGGAAGTGATTAAAATTTATTAAATGTTAATCAAAATATGTGAATGATCTAAATCGTATTCCTAAAAACACACCAAATTAATCAATAATGATATCATTTTGCATGAATTTCTCCTTTTATGGAAAACAACAACCTAATTATAATTATAACTGAAATAAAAATCCCGATTTCTGATCGATTTTATTAGAGCAATCATCAATCGGCCCTGTGGCCTAATGGATAAGGCGTCGCTCTCCTAAAGCGAAGACTGCAGGTTCGAGTCCTGCCAGGGTCGCTTTATTAGTTGGTATAGAAAAGAGGGATTCCGCGGTAGTGCGAGAAGGCTTCCCTTGCTTATTTTCCCGATTTCATCATGACTTCTAATTATCCTGACAAAATTATCTCCTCAGATTTCTATAATATTCGTCATAATTTTAAACTTACAACAATTAGCAATGAGCCATACTGGAATTTTGGGAAAAACGATAAAATGGTTGCTGATCCAAAATTTGCTGCACCATTTATCAATCCACAAGGAGCAAAAAAGAATGATGGCATCGTTTCAACTACAAATAGGGCAATAATAGTCGGATTTCCTGTAATTTTTCTTCATTAACCTATGTCAACGAACTAAGGTAATATTTAATTTTTGATATTTCATGTAATCGTTTATCATTTGATGAAGAGAATTTTTGACAAAGTGAAATAGCTAATAACTTTGCCTCAAAATAAAAATCTTCGCAGAGTAATGTAACATAATTATGTTTAAAATAATTATTCAAAAGTATATGAAACGTAAAGACTTTTGGAAAATTCATGTCACCGCAACTGCTGAAATGCTTATTTTACAAACAACAGTTCCATCAATAGCGCATCTTCAAAAAAAAAAAAAGTCAGCATGTTAATTACAAAGCAAGGAATTAACTTATGCAAAAAACTGAATGGCTTTAATATTTAAATTACTTTACCAATGAAAGTAACAGCGATACGTTGTCCATCAGGAGAAATTTTCATATCACGAATAAATCCATTGACCTTGCATGCTCTGTTATCATTACTACTCTTATCTCTGCCATTATCTATATGTTCTAGTATTATTTCCGAAAGATCATACACAGGAACAGCAATTTCGGATCCATATGATAATCTGCAATGGTACAGGTATGACTAAAAGAGATAAATTTTGACTGATATAACTTACCTTATATTTCAATATATTTAAATAATTCAATGGATTTTATAAACTCAAAGAAGTAAGCAAGAAAATCAATAAAAAGGCGAAGTTAAAAGAAATGGAACTCATAAATATGAAATTAAGCCAAAATTATTTAAATTAAAAAATTCAGATTGCAATAAATCTATAAATCTCGAACTTACTAAAAATAGCTTTGTAAAAATTTGAAAGCATTTCAAAAATAGCTAATTCCAACTCGTAGATTAAAAAATTATTACTAATATGAAAACTACTTACTGATCATTCTCCATATTTTGTAGTTTTTTAACAAAATGAATACCACGAATAAAGGGCTCATTATTTGTTGCAAAAAAGAACACATCATTTAACGGAGTCCAAACTGCTGCCACACAAAGACCTTTCAATTTTTTCCATCGTTCTTCATGCCATGAATGACGATCGTAAATACTGTAAAAATAAAAATGTAAATATAAAGAAGAAAAAATATTTTGCAATTAAAGGGATTAAATTAAATGAAACAACTCATTGAAGATATCAACAGAATCCTCGTACCTTATGATATCCCCATCATATGCAACAGCTATTTTACCACCATTAGGGGAAATCCATGCATGACGAATACGTCCACCGGCCCAAGAACCAACTACTTCGCTTTCACCAGTACTTGTGTCCAGAACCTAACGTACTTATTACATAATAATAATCCAAAACCTAATACATTTACCAAGTAAAAATACTGTATTTCCGTCATACACAACAGCTATTTTATCACCATTGAGGAAATCTATGACGAATCCAAAACTACATATCCTTAACATATCATAGTGCTTAAACAGAAACCTGTCATGTTTACTGCCTAGTGATATATTACATCCAGAAATTACTGTACCCATTACACAAAAAAAGAAAACTCTTCGGAAATGCTAAATTAAAACTTTTTTTGAGGTTTTTTTTTTT